GGTTTCCAGTTTAAAGTGGTTGCTGAAATGTATATTGGTTGCAGTGATTCTACTTAATGTTGTTCATGCACTGTAAAATGAACATAAAGTGATCTTATAATTTGCTGTTCCACAGGTAAACCAGACTTGATGCTGTCCATGACTGCAAATGATCAGGCTGATTATGAAAAAGACCAGAAGTCCCAGCTTGTGACTCCCAGCCCAGACCACACTCCTAATTCTGTCAGTAGCCCAAAGTTCATGTCCCCACATCTGTCCCATTCCAGGAGCCCTCTTAGTCCTCCACCTGAGAACTTCAACTGGCCAGACGTCCGTGAGCTTCGCTCGAAATATACACACTTCGGCAGCTCGTCTTCTCAGTTCCCAGCAGGCCAAAGTCGTTCTGTGGCAGAGAGGACGTTCGACAGCACTTCTAGAAGACGTTCTAGCTGCTCTTCAAGCCGCATACTCGCCTACAATGGCTCCACGGACTCTTCAATTCACACACTTTATCCGGGAAGGGATACGGGAGAATTGCTAACTCGGAAGAATCGTACTGGCTCTCTGGACCAAAAATTGGGTAGTTTGTACTTGAGTGATCTGCGTAGTTTTCAGAGTAAAAACGCCAGCAGTGGCTACTATGTCTCCGCTCAAGCTACCCTTCCGAATGAGAAGAATATATTAGTGGTTGAGAAAGTACCTGAGGATACACCAACAGTAGAGATGGACCTACCTACCAAAGAGTGCATGAAACAGGAAATAACAACAGATGATGGCTACGTCCAAATTCGTTCTCCAACTTCTCGTGAGAAGATCTCAATCATGGCTGTCATTGACCGCTGTCGGGCATATCAGGAGTCAGAGGAATACCGTCTGAGGGAAGAGGGAGGATCAAAGACAGAGAGGAGCAAAAAACTGGAGAAAGCTCCATCCCCTAGTGATTCCCTAGATGATGTTGTTAAAAATGCATTGGATTCTGGGAAGAAGGCGGACGCTAGTCAACAAAGCGTTGTCAAGAACCTCAGAGAAAAATTCCAAAGCATAAGATAAAATCGATATGTATTTTATGTTTTAGAAATCCTGTAAAGTTGTTGGCTGTGAAATACTTTGCTTCATTAATTTCTCTCTTTTTTAATGTCTTGACCACTGAAGGCATGGTCAATATACGTATATTATGCTGTAGCCAAATAAATCATTTGGCGAATTTAAACCTCAAACCTAATATTCTTTACGTTTTGGACACTGTTTGATTTATGTTGTCTACTGTTAAACATATAAGAAACATGTGGGGTTTTTTATGGCCTGGATGCTAGACAGGCATGTGTAAATATTGTACATTTTTGTACATGCATTTATTCTGATGTACCATTCGCATATTTGTAGATATTACATGTATGCGTTTGGTAGTCATATTACACAAATGTAAAGGCAATGACATTCTTCTTCATGATTGTTAAAATTTTGGCAAAAGTATTTCAATTCATGAAATACAGTATACTCTGCTAGTATAGACTAGACTTTAGTGTAATTCCAGTCTAGACTCTAAATGGAACGGACCACTTGAAAACTGGGTTTTATTTAACTTTTAAACTAAAAGAGATGTTAAAGTTTGCTTGTAGATGGCATACATGGGCCAAATGTATATATGTACCTTTGTTGTAAAGTAGATTTAGTCCCTTTTTTCTAGGAAACTAGATTCTAATGTGTAAAGACATACTGTAAGAACCAGTATGACAATTTTGTCTAAAATGTTAAGCTTATTATGCGTCATTGTGGTGCATGATGAATCTGCCGCTAACATCAGACTTTGGGGGATACAACAATTTAAAAAAATGTAAAAATGTAAATGTATGTAAACACTGTTGGTCAAGCAGCCCATTCTGATAGACTGGTCTTTGTGAAATCTTTCATTTTCCTTATAACTGCTCTCTTATTGATCATTGTGTGTGTGTGTGTGTGTGTGTCTCTCTCTCTCTGTTATTTATTAAGATTCTATTGATTCCTCCTATCTGTCTGTCTGACTTATTACAAATGCACCAAAAAAAAAAATACAGTTCATAAAATGGAAAGTCTGGAAAATTCACTCCATAATAAAACCCAAGGAAATTCACCTTAGCAAAGACTTGGACAGATTTTGTTTGTCCCATTTTAATGACTTTGATCTGTAGGCCTCAAATACAAATCTTACCAAGAAGCCTCCATGTCAGTTTATGGTTTGATATTAGTTTCTTGATAATTTTGATATTCATTAATTTGAGTTTTTCTTAGTTCTATGTGCAGCCATTCAGCATTAGCCATCACTGAGACGTAACAGAACTGTAACAGAATTTCAGCATTTAAATACATGTGTATGTCAAAACATGTAACGGCATTTTGAATCCCTCACCTAGCCAAAGTCATACAACATGCTTTGGATTTACAAATTTAGCAAAATTATAAGAGATTAGTAAATGCTGAATAAGTATTATTCATTCTTAGTTCATGTTAACTAATGTTGACTAATGAAACTTATTGTAGTGTAAATACAGCTGTTCCTTGTTATATTAGTTAATGCACTGTGAACTTCTACAACCTTTGATTTTAATAATGTAATTAGTAAATGTTGAAATTAATATTAACTAAGATTTAATAAGTGCTGTAGAAGAATTGTTCATTTGCAGTTCATTTGCAGTTCACTTCACAGTAAGGTTCAAATAGGAATTGTTTTTGAACTAATATTTTTTCGTTATGTTTAATTATAGAACAATTCTAAAATTACTATAAAATTATATTTTTCTAAATAATAGTTCTGAATATCCTGTTTTGTGTTACTTCAATCATTGATGAATCAAATGACTGGGCCTCTAAATATGCACACTGAGACAAATTTACAGTGATGTGATATTTCTGAATCATGAGGGGCAAAGGAAAAGTCGTAAATGATCTCAGTTTCTCAATCAAGTCCGTGTACTTGAACTGTAATTGAACTCTCGTCTGACAAGAAACAGTGAGGAATGAGGATGTTTTCATTTTAAAAGCCGATGAAAGTACGCCACATGATGGCCGCATCTGTAAATGCACTGTTCACAAAAATATAGGCCTGCTGCAGTTCTTCGACTTTTCACCCAAGGAGGCTACATCAGAACGGAATAATGGAATAATCCTGATATCACACTAAACAAAAATATGATTAATTTTATCGAATGGAAAAACAAAGGAATTTAGAGCATTTAATCCATAACTGTAACTTTTTACCATTTCAAATAATCACCTCACAACAACTCGATAAGTAATAACAGATATCCAGAATGTCAACAACTCGAATCAGCAATAAGTAAAAAATTCCCTCTTAAGCAAATACACCTGGAACTCCCACCAAGTGTTACAAAATTCAGAAGCCTTGGTATCTAATTTGGAAATGACTATATATTTTTGATAATAGTGAAAATATTATCGAAAATAGAGTCATTTCCAAATTACCATTACCAATTGCAAAATGGGAGTCGGACTAAATCACTAAAAATATCCAACAACCAGCCCAAGTCAGTTCACAATCTGTGACTAGTCTGGCATCCAACAACCAGCCCAAGTCAGCTCAAGGTCTGTGGCATTTAACAACCAGCACATGCCAGGTCACAATCGGCAGACCAGTCTAGTATCCAACAACCAGCCCAAGTCAGTTCATAATCTGTGGTCCAGTCTGGCATCTAACAACTAGACTACGCCAGCTTACAACCTGTGGACCAGTCTGGCATTCAACAACCAGCTTAAGCCAGCTCACAGTTTGTGGACCAGATCTCAGAGGTCTGCATTTAGCATAAACCAGCTCTTAGTCTGTGTCCCAGCCCAGCAGTTTACAGTCAGCACATTCCCGTTACCAGTCTGTGTCCCCAGCCTAGTGGCCTGCAGTCAGCACAAACCCATCACCAGTATGTGTCCCGGCCTATCAGTCTGCAACTAATACAAGCCCGTCACCAGCCGGTGGACCAGTCCAGCAGTCTCCAGGCAGCATAATCCAGTCTGTGTTCTGGTCCAGCAGTCTGCAGTCACAGTACAATCCTGTTATCAGTTTGTGGACTGGCCCAGTGGTCGGCAGTTAGCACAAGCCTGTTTCCAGTCTATGTCTAGGCAATCCCGATTCCATGTCATTTCTAAGCCAGAGCAGTATTGTGGGAAAAGAAGTGTTATGCGTATCAATTTGTATATGGTACTTGCCCCCCATGCCCTCATAAGGATCTTCTAAAACATTTGGTTATGTCATATAGGTTATGGTAGGACAACAGTTAAAGGCACTGACTATAAATGTAATCTGAAGATAACATATGGTGTGTGAACTTAAAAAAAAGATATTACAGTTTCTGTAATAATATAAAAAATAAAAGTAAATAAATAAACAAATAAAGTTGTCCTCCGAAGAGAGGGGGGTTGGTGGTGGGAGAAAAAAAAAAGAAAAAAAAAGGGACCTGAGCACGGTTTCAGCACGGTGTGCGTACACACTAGTTGAAATCGTTTCATTAATGTGGCCTCTCATTAGCACACATCCATCATGGAGACGTCTATTTTATGTGCGTGTTTACATCTGAAAGAGTTTGCTCATGTGCAATACATCTATAGTACGTTTTCAAATAGATGTTAAATAGATGTTTCGAAAATGTCTAAGTTGTTTAAGATTTAAAATGTAAAACTGATATCTTAAAGATGTTAGTAAACAACAGATGCTTTCCAGATGAAGTGATCTTCATCTGCAGTCGTACGTGTGCATTCATCTAGTCTTCATTTCATTTTATTTTGCTTTAAAAAATTATGACTGACCTAAAAAAGTCTCACACATGTCCAACAGTATAGCCTATTATTTTTCTGGATCTGAATTTTTATGGAAGCCTCTCAAAACACACACTACTGTTATAAATTTTAGACTATCTTTCAAAAGAAAAGATTTTCTGTATAATAAATTGATGAACTAAAGTTCTATAACATGGTGCACATGCAATAAAAATGATTTCATTTGCATTTGATACAATAAACCATTCATAACACCCAGGTAAAAAAAAAGCAAACTGTTTAATGGTGAGCTGATAAACCACTAAACAAATCTACTGTATACAATCATTTCTTAGTGCAGATATTTGGAAACATTTTATCCAAGATTGACACCAGGATTGTAGGAGCCTTTTTAACGTCAAATGGTACGTAATAAATAAATCGAAACAAATGCTGTAATGGAAGATCACAATTACAGACACAAAGCAAATACAATACTAACATGGTGTCGTTATAATGCAGTGTGTTGACGGCACGCTGGTAGACAGAAAGATGTGTTGTACTGTATGTACAGTTGTGCTGTTCACGGCACATTCACGCTGTTGTCATCAGAAGATACTGGTTGTCACAATATTTCTATTACGGCCAGTTGCAAACTAAAATGGGGGAATATGCCCCCCTTAACAATGTACAGTACATCAACTTTGGAACTTAAAATATTTAGATATAAGTTTAACGTGCAGTGCATCAGTCATATTAAGTAAAATAAATAGAAACGTTGTAAAATTAAGAGAGTTCTTATAACGTAAGATGGCCCCTTCCTGGGGGAAACTATGAATGTATAAACGATTTATTTTAAAAGTCATAATCATAAAATTCAAAATCAACCAATTGAGCATTACTTTTTAATTGAAGAACTTATGACAGATCATTTATGGCAAAATCCCAGTTAAAAGAGATTCATCTGACTTCATGATTCAAATTTATTCCATGATTTACATACATGTAATTATGAATATTTACATATTTCATTGACCCTATTATAATTGAAGATATGTCATAATAGCCACACTGAATTCAAATGAACTAATTTCACTCATTTAGGCTATGGGTTTTATTGAAAAGCTTCTGACAGCCCTCCAGGTGAATTCTTCAGGGGGGCATCTTACCCCAAAGGTCTAATTTGAACTCTAACCCAATGGTTTTCAACACTGTTACCTTACAAATATGTACAATTTCCTAAATTGAATATTAGCGTAACATTATTGTTGTGGATCTCATTCAGGATATTTAAACATCCTTTTGATGCTTTTAAAACATTCACAGTAACAAATACATAGAATATATGACACTTAAAGAATACATGGCTAATGTAAACGTAGGGGTGATAGCCTGTTACATCCAGCTGTTTTCTGTTCTCACCAAAGATAGCTCTTTGTCTGCCCAAATTAAAAAACAATCACTTTGTTGCATACAATCATAAAAGCATATAATATAGTGGGGCAGGGTGAAGGTAACCCGTTTTTTCAAGTTTTAACCTGTAACACACAGCAACAACACTTCACAGCATCACACATGATTCTAACCTAGCAGTCACTTACACTTTTAAACTTAAACACCCTTAACACTCCAGACATACAGTGTGTTGTAGTTGCAAAACTACGGTGACCATGAGGGGACAAGTCTGGTTCACTTAGGTTTGTCCCGGCCATGAGATATTGATTTGTGGGAACCTTAAGTTGATCCACAACATCTTAACATGACATTCAGTGAATGTGACATACATATTCATTGTATTTGTACTCTTATATCATTCAAATGTCATTGTTATAAAAACGCCCTTCTATGCAATTATATTGAAATCAGTTGTTAATTTAAACCTTTAAAAATAAAGTACCAGTTGAAAGGTTTCCCTGTATAGTTTACAACATTAGCTGAGAAAGATTATTTTTTCTTTGAAGAAAAATTAGCTTGTACTAGTCTATATATCCATATATATATATATATATATATTCAACTGAAATGAAAATTTGTGTTAATACCACCGTTTTACAAAGTCTGTGGTTTTCCTATGGAATTGTGTTACTTTAAAATTTTTGCCACGGGTTGATTTTAATTAATTTTTTTTATTAGATTTTCAAAAAATGATCTCAATATAGGAACTCGTGGCTACTAGAAAAGTGAACCAAACCTATCCCCTCCCAGTCACCGAACTAAACATTTATGCCAAAGGTTGATTACTTTTAACAATAATTTTGATACTATTAACAATATTTTAACTTGCCAAATCTGGGAATTCAACAGTAGCCATATTCTCAGAAGCAGCAATATTCAATTAATAGCATTATAGCACGATAGCATTATATCTAAAACAACTGGTAAATTTTTTTTTTTCTGGCAAAGCAAGCTAATGTCTATGCCCATGTTGAAGGCAAGCACTAAGTATTGCGTATTCACCCTTTTGTCATGCTGTAGATTTGTAGCAGCCAAGTGCATTTCATGATTGACAGTGAATTGGGTTGGAAAGTGAATTGAATGCTACAATGTTTTCAAAACAGACGGCAACACAACACTCACGCATTCACTCAATCATGAATGACAACATGGCATATGGACAATCGCTCAAGCAAGCCACTGATTACAATTGTTGAAAAGAACAATGTTTACAACCTACTTTAGCTTGTGAAGTATGTCCGCAGTCTTAGAGAAAGCATATGACGCATATTTGCACCACAGGTAGTCTTACAGTCCTTTTACAAATACGCCACAAATATTGCAGTCTCCAAAGAAATGTGCAGTTGTTTACTATTCTTATACATATCGGCCACCCTCGGGCCCTTTGGGACCTCGCTTTGCACTTGCATTGGCATTACTAGACGTGGGATTGGTAAACTCCTTGGAAGCAGATTTGTTTTTTCCCCTGGGAGAAGGTGCCATAGGGGGCATCTTTAGGATTCCTCCAGGCTCAACAATAGTGTTGATCACTAAGGTACGACAAAACACAAATGGATATAGGGAAAACCCCAGAATGTGTAGCATACAAGGTGAAAGTTAAAGATCTCACCCTCAAGTTGTCTCTGGACTCGTCGCAGTTCTTGGAGAATAGATGAGATTTCCTGTTTGCAAAGCAAGGAAAATAGATTAGAAAATCTCAGAAATTAAAGTCTGGTCTTAGAAATTGCCTTTAATTTACCTTATTAGATGTCTTCAGGATAGGAACCTCATTTTCAGCATTGATTTTTGCCTCGATTTCCTCCCAGACTTCAGTCTTGTTATGAAACAGAACTCTAAAAGAAACACAATATTTGTGTTTCAATATTTGTGGGACTATACAGACAAATCACTTTGTTTTAAAGAACATCGAAATTTTGTGAATTTCAAGTCTATTAGCTTTAAAGCTATCTACTGTACTGTACAGACACGACTGTATGGCATAGTGGGGCCAAAAAGTATTTATTCAGCCACTGATTGTGCAAGCATCAGTTCTCCTACTTAGAATAATAAGAGAGGTCTGTAATTTTCATCATAGATACACTTCAACTTCATAGTTGACCACTGATAATCTCCCTCGATCTGGGGCTCCACGCAAGATCTCATCCCGTGGGGTCAAAATGATCATGAGAACGGTGAGCAAAAATCCCAGAACTACACGGAGGGACCTGATGACCTGCAGAGAGCTGGGACCAAAGTAACAAAGGCTACCATAAGTAACACACTACACCGAGAGGGACTCAAATCCTGCAGTGCCAGGCGTGTCCCCCTGCTTAAGCCAGTACATGTCCAGGCCCGTGTGAAGTTTTCCAGAAAGCATGTGCATGATCCAGAAGAGGATTGGGAGAATTTCATGTGGTCAAAATAGAACTTTTCGGTAAAAACTCAACTCGTCATGTTTGAAGCATGGGGGGACGGGGCGACATCATGCTTTGGGGCTGTTTTTCTGCAAAGGGGACAGGAAAACTGATCCGTGTTGAGGGAAGAATGAACAGGGCCATGTATCGTGAGATTTTAAGCCACCTTCCATCAGTTAGAGCCTTGAAGATGAAACGTGGCTGGATCTTCCAGCATGACAATGATCCCAAACATACCGCCTGGGCAACGAAGGAGTGGCTCCGTAAAAAGAATTTCAAGGTCCTGGAGTGGCCTAGCCAGTCTCCAGACCTCAACCACATAGAAAATTTGTGGAGTCCGTGTTGCCCAGCGACAGCCCGGAAACCAGCAATGGTTATGTTATATGCAGAAATGGTTATGGCAAAGTATTTAGTTGAACCAAATACTTATTTTCCACCATAATTTACAAATAAATTCTTAAAAATCCTACAATGTGATTTCCTGAATTTTTTATTTATTTTTTTCATTTTGTCTATCATGGTTTAAGTGCACCTATGATGAAAATTACATTATTCTAAGTAGGAAAAATTGCACAATCAGTGGCTGACTAAATACTTTTTGGCCCCACTGTACTAGTGACCTCCTAAAGTTGACAAAGTCAATCTTTAGCAGATACACAGTTTAAATATTGAAGACTACACATATTTTTACATATTCTCTAGGATGAGAATCTCCATTCCGTTAATCTCCAAATCCTCTGCTTAACAGCTAGCAAGTGGTTTATGGTTATGATATACCTAAAGCCTATTTGAACTTTAAATAGGAATCATACTTCATTTTCTCTGCTAGTTGCTCCGTGTTCTCTCTGATAGCCTGGGAGAGCTGGGAGACTGGGTTCAGCATTAGATTGTCCAGAATTACCTGTGATTAAATTAAGAGTCAAAGGTTAAAATTAAAAAGGATGTAATTGTGGTTTATCTATACCGTATCTGAGAGACACTGCCATTGGCTATGAAGGTTATAACACCCTAAGCAAATAACTAATGGATCAGTTTATTAGTGTAATGAGCAAAGGATTTGACCAAATTTGACCTCTTCACGGTTCCAGGGACGCCGTCTGGAACTGTCATGGTCGTTCATATTTGAGTCCTGGTCTATTGGACTAGTTGAGCCTGGAGGAACCTTTTGATAGTTCAGACTTGCCTCAGGTATATGCTGTACCAGCTGTAGATTAATCAGGGATGGGAAAGCACTAGTAAGAACACGTGGACATGACAATGGCAGGTAAAATTTGATGTTAACAGACATACATCTCTGAGCTCAGATTACAATGGAGGCTTCAGAGACACAATTCTGGGAAGATATCTGTATGATCATGCTAATTCAATTGTGAATAGCAAAGGGTTCTATGTTCACAGTCAACATGGCGGGACAAACTCTTTAAAGTGAACATAACCTGTTTTGTGAACATACAGCCTTAAGAGTGAGTTTGGAAGTGAAGTTCCATGCATTAGGGATGCATTAGGGAATAAATCAATTAGAGCAGCAGTTTCAACAACAGGATCCAAAGGTGAACATCAGACAGCTGTTAGTACGTTAATTTTGGTGATAATGAGTGATGAACTAAGCACCTGAGGTAACAGGAACCTCTGTAATGATGCATATGGTCTCTGCACAAAAGAGAAAATATACAACAAAAAGTATGCAAGATTACAAAAAAAAAAAACCTTGTACTTTAGTCTTAATCCTCTTTGGGGACACAATATAAGGTGTATCTGGAGGTGTATCATGCTACTTCACCATGACTTCTTAGTTACTTAACATGCTTTGTTACCTTTGACTTTAGCATTTTATCTACTATGTTTTCTCCTCATTGTGCTAATGAGGCGATTGTAAACATTTGCAGCATGTTTTGCTTCATACTGAAAAGGTAGTGGAATGGGCCATTGTATATGATGGGATGCCATTTAACCAAGCAAACAAACTTTAGGCCTACTGTACCTCCTCTCTGGTCGAGATAGTGGATGCAGGGGTATTTGGCATGGAGCCTGGGGAAGTGGTAGCTCCTAAGCCTGAGGATGTCTGGGAGTCACCATCCCCTGCTACATCATGGATTTCACGTGCAAGAATGGCAAGATCTTTGGCCAGATCTTGACTCAGCCTAACGGATACAAGTATTATATAGTATATCATCAATCATAAATGTGGTAATACATTGGGTAGTGTATACATGCATGCATATCAAATCAAAACAAAAACCAAATAACCTGGCAATCTCTGCACTATGAGTAGACCAATTTTGGAAGTGTTCATTCTGAGTTTCGTCCTCTTCCGTTTCCAAGGAGACACATTTCAGCCTCATTTGAACAGTCTTCTGTGGTGTCTGTGTCTGAGTTGAAGCTGAGGCATGGGAGCGCTTTTGCTTAGAGTTGGATTTGGTCTCAAACTCCTCCTCTGAGGTAGAGGAATATTCTGAATCCTTTTGTCTACGGTGGGAACCTCAAGTTTTAAATAATAAAAAAAATGGGAAGGAACATTTCTAATCAAAGTATCATGTTTGTAATTTGAAACAAAGTCACAATATTGTCAGTAACAATGAAGAAATATTAAAGATGTTGAAAAAATGTTATGGCACTCCAGTGGTCTTGTCTGGAGGAACTGCATTTATAGATCTAAGAGCATTAAACTGACAGATACTCACCAGCTGTGCTACTATGTTTAACTTGGTTAGAGCGGGTACGCGTGGAAGAGTGTTTCCCTACTGATGCAGTCCCTTTGCCGGTAACCTGCCTCACCTCACTTGAAGCCCCTTTCCTCGCACTGCTACTCGCCTCTGTAGGATGGTTAGAAATGCCATGCTTGCTTGAGGTGGATTCGTTGTCACTTGGAACAGTGAAGGATCTAGTTCGTTTCCGAGGCATAGCAAGAATGTCCAGCCTTGAGAGTTTCTTGCCTTCAGCAGGAGTCTTGCTGTGGTCGGAGCTCTGAGATGCACGGTCCGTCTCTACACCCTCATTGTCTGAGGTCTCACCTAGTCGAGCTCGGCGGAGCATCGAGGCACGGGTTGGTCTTGGGGCTGAAAGGCTATTGGATCGTGTCAGCACCTGAGGGCTTCCTTTGGTCACCTTACTGGGGTCCTCCTTCTGCAGGGGTGCAGTGAGTTTTTTGCGGGTGTTGGGCCGTGAACTTGACTCATGGTCAGAAGCAGCAGCTTCATGCCACAACGGTTGACCATGCTGATTATCCGAAAGGTCTAAAGAACCACGGTTACCAGCACTGCGACGAAGCTGGAGACGGCGACTCATTTCAGCTTTACTAGTATTATCTGCAGAGGCATGATTTCTGCGTTTTTCTGATAATCGTTCACGTGCTGTAGGTTGCCGTGCTTTGTCTTTTACAGTTGAAACGGAAGATGATTTCTCCTTACGCTGGTCACTTGCAGACGTACGCTTCTTAGGTGCAGTGACATGAGCATTTTTACTGCTGACCATGCTTACAGTACTGGCAGTATCAACATCTGAATCACCGGACAGGGAATCCTCTTGTTCAGGAGAGCTTCCTGTTTTGAACTTCTCTTCTGGTGATGCCAATGATTTATCTGCTTCCTTAGGAAAGGGAAATGTATCTTGGACAGTTTCCTCTGTATCCAAGCTTCTCAAAGCAGGATGACTAGAGATATGTGGTAGTTTCTTGACTTGAATGTTGTCACTTGGCCTATCTTTGGTAAAACTCTCCTGTCGAACAAATGAGGTTGAGGTCTCTTTGGTGGGCACCACATCCCTGTTATGTGCCTGAAGGTTCGGGGCTGACGAGTTGGGCTTCACTGGACGCCTCGATTCATGGCCACTCAAATGTCGTATCAAGACAGTGGTTGGAGGTATCTTAGGAGAGAAGTCTCTCTCTGGCTGCGAAAGAATTGGACTTTTGGATGCATCTGACTTGGATGAACCATCTTCAGAACCAATATAAAACGAAGTGGGTTTGGGAGTGGGTGGTGGCATCTCTCTTAACCCTCTAGAATGATTTACATTTTCAGAAGGTGAGGGTATTGAAGTTCCTCTCTTTTCTTGGCTCCTTCCACTCTTATCAAGGATGGAGCTGTCATCTGAACGGCTGGTGTCACTCAGACTGTCTGGGTCCACATCGTCTTGGACACGTAGCCTCTGATTGCAGTCCTGCTGCTGTGGTGCTCTAGAATTTTTCTCTGGTGGTTCATGGTCAAAGGTAGTTTCATGCCGGATCAAGATACTAGGGGTTGTGTTCTCCAGTTTTTCTCCTGGTGGAACCTGAGGAAGTTGTCGTCTGGTCCTGAAACCTTGACTGCCATCTGATTCCGAGGTATCCAAGCTTTGACTAATCATTAATGTCACTCTATCATCTTCAAAACCAAAAGAGTGAATAGTTATTATTTTGTTGGCTATTCATAATGAAATCAAAAATTGTATTGCCAACTTGTTCAAACACCACTTTCAATGAAAATACCTCTTTCCGCAGGCCCATTTTTGGATGGAATTCCCATAGATCCTTGTGTAGCCCCAGGATCATTATAAGCGTCTGCTAGGCTGGCCCAGCGTGAGCGTGAAACCCATTTAGGCTCTCCTACTCCAGGATGTGCCTAAATCATGAAGGGCAACAACTATCAATCATAATTGTATTAATTGTTCACTATTGACTGACACTGTTAGGGCAACATTTAGTAATGAATGAGAGCACTGTTTTCAGAACAGAACAGAACATAATTGCAATACCTGAAGTGATTTGACTTGGTCCCCACCATGGCCCTGTGATGATGTCGACATTATATCAGCGGCCATACCGTGGCTATGACTAAAGAATAGTTGCTCATCTTTACCATCATCAATCACAGGCCTATACACTCCAAGAGTCTGACCACTGTATTCTGGTGCATCTAAAACACCAAACACCTGTAAAATGAGAACAAATATGTTCCTCAAACACTACTCAAACATTTTTAGACCACATTGGTCAAACAAGTGGTGCACCTCAAATTCACACCAGAAGTTGAAAAAGATATTTATGTTTCGGACAACTGAAACATTTCATTCAATACAATGAAAGAGCCACGATTTCCAATACACTGAAATAGGAGAATTTTACACCAATTGTAATCTCAAGAAAAAGAAAAGGCTTTGTCACCTGGTCAATCATACTTCTAGCTTCCTCCACTTCCTTATCTTGTGACTCTGTCTCAATTGTGTAGGTACCAGCATCACTCAGACTGTCCTCCTCCTCGGCTCGTGTCACCCTTGAGCCCTTAGTTTCAACATCACTAGTTAATAGTGTTGAAAACGGGGGCACAGATGTCCCAGCTGAGCAGACTGGGGAGGCACTAGAAACTGGACCCCTTCCAGGGGCTTGTGAAGGGACGGGGGCAGTGGAGGATATTGGGAGAAGAGACTGGGATGATAATGCAGGAAGGTGAGAAGGAGAAGATGGGTACGACAGAGATAAGGGTCCAGGGGTCTCTGCTGGGGAGGGTAAAAGAGTGTGTGATGGGGATACCATCACAGGTGGGGCAGACAAGGGAGGTGGGGAAGTTTTTCCTGTATCTTTCAAGAACTCTGCAGTAAATTCCTGAGCAAGATTGGACTTCTTGCCCACACTCCCAAAAGGCTTAATGGTTATAACTGGTGAAGAGCGAGAAGAGGTCCCTAATAAAGATGTGCTGGTCCCATTGTCTTCTGTTTTCTCTCTCTTCAGTGAACTTGATCGCTGTGAACCTCCATGGCTTGAACCTTTCAGTGGAACAGTGATTTGCTGTGTTGGAGGAAGATGCCCATGCACAGAGGCTGGCCTTTCCCCATGAGCCAGACCTTTGCGTCTCTCTAGTTTGGCCTTCAATGCAGAGTAGGAGTCAGCATGGGCAGAGTTGTGGGTAAAGGACTGTGATCGCTTCTTTCTGGGATTATCATCAAAGAACTCAATGATGAAGGCCTGCTGGGTGTGAGGCTCAGGGGGAATGGGCTTAACCTCCGTCTGGTGAGGGGAGGAGGCTTCTTGTACAGGATGTGCCTCACTTTCATCAAGATCACCTTGATGGGGTTTGTGTGGTGAGACTGACTGAGGATGATGAGTTTTTTGCATTGAGACAGATGGCTGGGACAGAACTGATTCTGATGGTTCAGATGCCTTTGATTGAGCTGACTGCTGTGACTGTACTGATGATTGCGATTGCACAGAATGATGTGACTTGCTGTGTTTTCCATTCAGTACAGGGTCTTCTGAATCACTCTGGGTTCCATCATCATGATGGTGTCCTGTTAGGATTACAAATATAGTGTATATTATGGCTGTCAATCTAATTCTAAAAAAAGAATATAATAAAAATCACGCAGTTGAGCATTCCTCGTAACCTGTATGTCAATTCTATAATCTTTTGTGTCTTTCTAAAATCATGACAATCAAAGCTTGAAGTTTGTTTTTACGAAGACTACAGCCAGCTTGCCTCGTCTACTAAGGCAGGCACAGCCACAGAAAGAGAAACAAGGTATTCACATAGGAGATAGGACACATGTACGTACATACATTTTAGAACATTTTGTGTCAGTGTGAGTCTAACAGAAAGTCAATTTAAGGAAGTGCAAGATGTCTCTTACCTTTGAGTGTCCGAATATGCATTGCTAAGTCACTCTTAGTGCTGTACACATCCTCGCAGGGTGGCCGCCTGCACATCATGCTGACATCACTCTGCACAAGCCAATCTGCCACCTTGCTCTCAGCTGACAGAACCTCTGTGGGCGTGTCTGCCAGAGAATTACTGGGCTGCAGCTGCTTGCTTCGCTGACGAGAGGAGAACTTGGTCACGTGATCCTTGATTTTAATCTTGCCTGGCATGCAGTCATCAAACTCGATAGTAAAAGAAGCATGACTTTGGACAACTGGAGGAGTAGAAATCAGAGAAACATTGGTGTCTTTGGTTGGGATGTCAATCAAATCCGTCGTTGGGGACTTGGGTTGAATATGGAACTCCTTTGTTGGAATTTCAAAATAGCTGGGCTCTCGATTGTACATGTACGTTGACTTGGCCTGGCTGTCACGGATCTCTTGAACAGAGACGTTAAATTCATCCTCAGCTATCTCCTTTGTGATCTCTGTCAACAGACACCCACACCAAACTATGAATATGCTAATGAGACAAATGTCCACAACTCATGAAAGTGTCCGTAAGGGAGGACAAGTGCTTACCTGAATGATTATCCCCTGACCTTAGTACTTCATTGTGTGTTCCCTTGTTCCCAGAGTCCTCTTCACCCCACCATGATGGCTGTCCATACAATGGTGTTGGCCGGGGTATAGGGGACTCTGAAGAGGAACACATGAAAACACAGAAAGTGAAAGAGAGATGATGAGTTGGGTATTGTTACGTCCCAGGTTGTTCTAATATTATTTGTTGTGAGAAAATGCTTGGGGTCCCTGTGTTGTGCTCTGTTTCTCTTCCTCTCACTCAGGTTAATTATTATCAGCTGCAACTCATTGTAAGCATGTCTGAGCAGAGGAGTATAAATGGTGCGCTCACAGAAGCCAATGCTGTAACACTCTCGATCCCAACCTCAGACTGGAAATTGTCTATGTGTGTTTGTGCACGCTGAGTGAGAAGTGCTTACCTTTGAGTTAGGAGTGGGATCTATGCTCATTTGCTGTGTGGCAACAACAGTTACTTAGTTGGCTTACCAGTTTGTAATATTCTAGTGTTCAATTTTTTACCTGTGGGTAACTAAAAAGTATTGTGAAATAAGTTGGTAAAGGTATTGTTTTACTTCTTATTAGCTTTGTTTTACTTGTTTATGATTATCTGGGAAATGTAGGAAGAGGGTGCCTTTTTTATTATTTTGTGGAAATGAATACTTTTACTTTTCTTTAAATCTATATACTGTACATACAGTAGTGTCTAAAAGTCTGACATCACTAGTGAATGTTTCTATATGTAATTTCTATTTTATTACAAAGAAACTGAAATAGAAAAATCAACATGAGGGTTTGAGTTTTTAGATAAAATATTGAAATAATATTAATCAAAACTTCTGAAATAATGCATAGTATAGTTAGTATGCAAAGATTAATACTAGGTTTAATGGTTTACGTTTAATATGATTATATAATTTTTTTTGTTAACCATGTGTAAGTGGTTATAAGTGGTTGTGTAATATAATATACAGGAGGTTAAGTAGGCTTTTAAGTGTCTACTTAAAAGCCTACTTAACGTCCTGTATACTGGACATTACATTTTCACAATCTGACCTGCCTGCATTGACACCATTATATAAGAACTGAACTGACCTGGGCGCTGTTTTTTTCCAGAGCGACTATATAACTAAATTAAAACTTTTTTTTTCTAACAAAAAATAACCATCACTGAACTTAAGCTGGACTATGACACTATTTTCTTATAGATCTGTTATAAGCCACAACAAACTTTTTTTCCCAATATATTTCTGTTATCTCCGTAAAGCTGCTTTGAAACAATCTGTATTTTAAAAAGCACTATATAAGTAAAGGTGACTTGACCTGACACAAGAAAACTTGTTTCAGGTCATATGGCTAATATGTTAGGAAATATAATAATAATAATATTCCCAGGATACTAGTTGTTTGGAATAAGGAGGACAGTTTAAATATTTTTTTGTTATAGTAAACTGATATAAGAGCTGCTCCTACTTTTTGACAGTGATGAAGTGTTAAAAAATTGCTTGTGCTAACATGCAACGGGAATGGACAAGCCCCCAAATGTTACATTCCCCTCTAGGGGTCAGGAGAGGAGGTAAAAGGAAAAGAAAATTATCATAAAAAGTAACAAAATGTAAAAATGTATGGAGAACACACTTCAGCCTCAGTCTCAAAGTGAAAACATAACACAACTTTAATGAGCTTTTCAGCACTCTGCGGGTTGAGCGGTCCATGAGCCATGTGATGCCAACAGATGCTCATTGATGTATGTGTCAATGCAGTGCAGCAGCTGGACTAAGGCATTAGGATTATCTTTCTTATCTGTCACCTGACCAAAAGCTTGACTAGGAGGGGTTTACAAACAAACCAGGCCACTGTATACTACTGCAGTCCTACAGATAAACCGAGATTAACAAATGTTGTAGATAAGAGACAGAATCTTGTTGTTAGATACCCTCTGTCTACTACATGTTACAAAGTTGTTGTTTTTTTTAAAATCTTTTTAGCACTTTCTCAGTCAGTCTTTTTCTCTGGACTTTGGTCATTCTTCATCACTCTCACCTGTGAGACTCTTGCGTTCAGAACGATCTAGTTTGGTCTTTTCTTCCTGCAGGTTCTGTTGCTTCCCATCTGTAGATTTTATGTCCATCTGCAGCTGACTGGTGTACTTCTCATGCTGACTCAGCAGGGGCAGTCCACCAAAATATTAAATGTATAAAACATACATAATTACTTTTTATATGCTTCAGATAGAACATAAAAAGGACACACACTCACAAAGAGGTAGAACCGTACCTTGAGGGCCTCTTCGGGGACTTTATGTTGACTCTTCTCGAGAATATACACATGTGAATGTGCTCTTCATGTTAAGTCAGTACATTACAACTTAGATTTGTACAAATCTTCTGAATACCTGTATCTTAAGCAGACAGGAATTGAAATCATAACACAGTCTCTACAAAAGATGTGCAATGCTCTAGAAATTAAACAATAGAGAAACTGCCTCAACCAAATTTAAGGTTTCATGCTTTTGGCAAGCATAGAAAAGCTAATCAAGTAAAGGATATCATATCCAAAACGAACGATGTCCGACAGCTTGAGGGTTATGTATGTTTGGTCTGGAATTCTCAAGTCATTCACAAAGGTCTGAAATGAGAGAAGAAAAACTCATTTGTGCCTGAGATATTGGAATGCCACAGCGAATGAAGGCAGCTTATTCTTTTGCTTTATTTAGGGAAAATCCTTTTGTCTCAGAAAACAATGTGACTTCAGTCTGAAAGGGGAAAAAATAATTTATATTAGTAATTAATTTAGCAGATTATTTTTTAACTAAAGTGATAAATAAGGAACGTCACAAGAAATTAGTCCAGATTTAACAATATTCATAGTACAGAATCTACTTTTGTGTTCCGCCAAAGACAGAAATGCATAGTTTCAGTATGATATGTGAGTGTCAATGCACTGTAAAAAGTAAACATGCAGTTTTTGCTTTAATGAGGGATTTCTACCTGATTTAAAGTTAACAAAGTCACATTTTGTTGTTGTAACCTCTATGTGGATAGGGATTTAACTAAATTGAGTTAAGATTGACCAATAAAAAAATTGCTCAATCCCAATAAAGCTCAGCATGGACACATGCGTACCTTGCTGATCGGCAGATTTAGTTTTTGTGAGATATTGTGATTTGGGGTTATTTTACACATTAAGCAGCATAAAAGTGAAAATCACAATTGACAGCGCTATACTCTTCACTAATGGTAACCACAACATCCAATAACAGAAAATCCCCAAAATGTCCAACTGAACCTTAAACATTAAGATAAACCAACATCTTTCCCTTTACTGTAAAACACATAAAATAACACTTAATGCCTAAATTTATTCTTCTAATGCAGCAAGGCAACTACAGATCCACTGCCCAGGGCTGTGTTTCTCAAAAGCATCGTGAGCTAATTTAAAAAATGTCTTCTATTAAATTTGGGTAATGAATTTTTCGAGTGTGTATCAAGGTGTTAAAGGACTTTCATCATATAAAACAAAAAAAGATTATATCAAACTTATTAAGTAATTTTGCCTATAGCTGGGTAAAACAAGTTATTGTAGTAATTATTGTGTTACCACATGGAGTACATTTTCTAAGTTGAACTGACTGAAAAAAAAAAATCTTTGTGAGAGAGTGATAAAAGATTTTTTGAGTGAACTCTCCCTTTAAAGTTCCCGTGAACGGGCGGCTAGCACGCCCTGTTAGTGATTGGACTAAATGGCCCTTCCCCTTCACTACCTCTAGCCAAACCCCTCCCATCAAGTAAAATAATTCTTTTTAAGTGATACCAGGGTTGGATGTGGTGTCTCTGGCTAGGGAGCTAACCAGTGTACGCCTCGGTCCAAACCATGGGACAAAACAAAAAAAAAAAAAAAAAAAAAAAAAAGGGGGAGGGGACCAACCACCAATAACACTTGGCTGTGTCAGGTCACAAACAGACTAGGGGAGCTTGGTTTGGAGGTGCCTGTTGTGGTCCCCCGGTGGAAAAACTCAATGTAGCCCAGAAGTATAACGATGGGGGTTGGGTGTCACTGAAGGTGGTGGAGGGGAATCGTGTTATTGAATCGAGGGGAAACATCTGTGTCTGGGGGGCCTGTTGGTTGCGCTCACTGGCAGTTCTGGGTCAGCCCTCTGACCCAGAGTTTAGAGCAGATGTGCAATAAAAATAAAATTAAATGTATTCTTATTGTCATATTGCTATTGTCACTACTGTTGTAGATTGCTATAGCCTATATTACTATTATTGTCATGAATATTATCATTATAAATACTATCATTGATACTGCCACCACTAACACTAATACAGATACATATGTATATATATATATATATATATATATGTGTATATATATATATATATGTATATATTTCTTTGTGTTTGTCAAAGTCTCTATCATATCCTCTACAACTATTCAGATACTACCGAATTGCATCACAGAAAGGATCTCGTGTGCCTACATATACCACTTTGTCGATAACTGTGTGGGGCTGTTGTGAGTTTTTCTGTTCTCTGTTGTTTTTGTTTTTTTTGTTGTTGTTTTTTTTGTTTTTTTGTTTCCCCTTTCCTACTTCTGTATTGTAGATGTGTCTCACTGAATCTTACCTGGTATGTGTTACTGTTTTGTTAACCTGCAATAAAAAAAAAAAAAAAAAAAAAGAAAAAAAAAAAAATAAATAAATAAAGTTCCCGTGAACCAGAAGTTGTAACCGAGTTCATGGAACTTCAGTGTTGCGACGTATTTCCAAGTGATATGAAATATTGAATGGGGTCTATTTTAGCACACCTCCTCTCCATGCCTCGCTCATAGCAGACTGATGGTTGGAGGGGAGTAAGTGTTTAAGGACCCATGCTGTCATACTGACGTCATCGGAGAAGGAACGCCATTTTTTCTGTGTTAAACTAGTCAATTGTGATTTCATGTCGACTTTAAGTTAATAATGTTTTTATGACAGTAAAAGTCCCTTCAGTCACAATCGCCATGTTGCCTTTTGTTTAAAAGCTTACCCCATTTAAACTTCCAAGATCCTTCACAAGGTGCTCATCTGTGGCAGGGTTATAGTTGATAACTGCATGCTGTTTATCCACACTCCGAGACTAAAGATGAAAAAGAAATCTACATTAGCCATCTTGATGATTCTTTACACTTTTTCACTCCACCCAAACAATCCTCTCATACAGGGAATCCCACCTAATTCAGCTGGAAATGGTAATGCTCTTTTAGCAAAGTGTCCCACATAGCAACACTGTTTCGGCCCTGATCCGGCCCACATCTGGCACTTGTGGAATACTGATCTGGCCCACATACAGCATGCAGCATTGGGCCACATATTGTTTGCCAGATCTGGGCCACAAGCAGGGCATAGCAATGCAACATGTCAGCCAAGAGCAGAGAAATATCAATATCAAATACCTTATCATTTTCTGATGTCAATTGATTCTTTCCAAACCAAACAATCTTATTGTGGATGTGGATTCAGAGGGCAAATCAATAACCACACGACCTGTTCTTGTCAAAAAACAGTTGAAAATACACTAACATTATGGATTCGGATGGCAATAAAATCACAGGCTTACTCTGTGAATGTTTAATGTTTGAAATACCGTACGAGAAACAATTAGCATCCGAATAAGACTTAACTGACAGCTCACTGGCCTTTGCGCTCCGCAAATTGGGCCGTCTTTCAGAACAACTCTTCGCAGTATCGCTGTCATTTGAGCAAACTCCCCACTACAATCATTCCTTTTTAAGCATTTTAAGGCTTAAGCCTTTGAGCCTTTAATTGTTCGCCAGCTGATGTACCTTTGGATAATATAATTTAAAATAAACAACCAGCGTAATGACAATTTTATTTTTTGCATAAAAAACTTGAATTAGCCTAATTGAACACTGTCTGGCTGTGGAAACTTCAGAATTTTATTTGTATAGACAGTGATAAAGTAAAAGTGGTCTAGTATGGTAGCAAGGTTTCTTTGAAAGCTCCTTTCCACCAAGGAATGAAAAAAAAGGTAATTGCAACTTTTTATCTCACAATTCTGACTTTTTTTCATGGAATTGCAAGATTGCAATTGTGAGATTATACCTCACAATTCTGACTTTATCACACAATGGTGTTTATATCTCACAATTCTGACTTTTTTTATCACACAATGGCATTTATCTCACAATTCTGCCTTTTTTATCAATTGCGAGTTAAAGCTGCTGAAGGTAACTTTTGTAAAAATATTTTATATTTTACATATTTGTTAAAACTGTCATTATGTCCTGACAGTAGAATATGAGACAGATAATCTGTGAAAAAAATTAAGCTCCTCTGGCTCCTCCCAGTGGTCCTATTGCCATTTGCAGAGATACACCGCTCCCGGTCAGAAACAACCAATCAGAGCCAGGAGGAATGTCTTAACAGTGTCAATCACGCTTGTACGTGTACTCGCTGATCACACCCCTCTCTTGCACAGGGCGTTCCGTCGTTCAAACTCAAGATTGCCAGTGTGCCGCAGCTGTGCTAATGGAGGAGAAACTACCTAAACTGCCAATTTCTCGAGTGGCACCTGCTCATTAAACAAAGACGGGTAAAAGGAAAAACACAGATGACGATAAACAAGCGAAAAAGAAAAAAAAATGTCATGTTGCTGAAATGATGTACTAGCAAACCTTATCTAGCGATGGACAAGATGACCCGATGCAGTGCTGAAGTGCCAACTAGCCTCTGCCTATGGAGGATCCCTTTCCCACTCTACAGATAAAGCATTGTGAATTTCATTTCGCGTACCTACCCCGAAGTGATAAAATAAAACAAAATTTTGTATCAAATTTATAGACAATACAAGTAGTTTGTTCAGACATGGTTTTGTGGGGAATTACAAACCTGCACACATATATTCAAACGCACATAACTATAAAATCAATTCTTAAAGCCACACTGTGGAACACTTCAACCTTTATAATATATTGTGGTGAATGTAACATACATAATTCACCTTTGTTAAGGGTAGTTCTATACACTGTTGGTTGTAAACCCAGCACTCTGTTCTTCACGACTGTTCAGGGATCGCGGTCCCTTTAAATGCTCTGAACGTGTGTTCACGTGGGACGCATGTCAGCGCCATTTGCTTTTATTATTATTCTTTCTATTAATAAACGACACACGCATCCGTGTGCTCAAAGTAAGAAGTTGTCTGTTGCAATTTACTGCAATATTAATTTCCACAATATTACCAAAACCCATTGAGATGGACTTACAATAAGGTTGAATGACACGTATGCTGTATCCTGAAGGTGCCTGTAGTGGTGTTTTTGGCGGCCTGTTTTAATTTTAGTTTTAGTCTAGTCTTTGTGTCAAGCTGACATTTTAGTTTTTGTTAGTTTTAGTCATGTTCATACTCTTTTTAGTCTAGTCTAGTTTTAGTCGACGAAAACGGATGACATTTTAGTCTAGTTTTAGTCGACGAAAGACATAGTCTAGTTTTAGTCAATGAAAATTGTATTTTAGTCTCTTTTTAGTAGGCAATTCTATTTAACCCAGTCAATATATAAGAAGCCTACCTAGTTGTAGGCTAGCCTAGACGAAACCAATTTTTTTTTCTTTTAGCCAAACCCATTTCAAACAATCTTATCTTCTTATAGTTATCTTCTTATATTATTGTTACCTTATAGACTCAAGAATGATTCCAGGAAATCGCTCTGAATTGAATTTACAACACATTTATTTTACCAACCAAACATGTTAGTAGCCTGCCCTACACACATGATGAAATTAAAGTTTTTCCAAATGTCATTTCTTCTTTTTCTCCCAAAGACGAACCCCTTTCTCTGTGTCAGACTTAACTTTGTTTGTTGTCGTTTATGCTAACGCCTGTTTCACACACTCCATTTGCAGTGCGTATTTTTCCCGCACCCATACATACAGTTATAACAGTTATAGATTAGCGCTCATACCGCGTGCTCTGAGAGCGGTGCGTGCATAACAGCAGCAGAGCAGAGATCTACACAGCACCTCAACAATGCGACACAATGGATGTAGGCTAAAATACTGATTTGAAATAAAAAATAGAGAATAAATGTTGTGATTGTGGTACAGCCGTAGATCAGTTGCGCACTGCAAACACAGCACATGTGAAAGCAATAATGCGCGCTGCTCCTGCATACACACTGCAACACGCACCGCATACACGATACACACGGTGTGTGTGTGAAACAGCTGTAACTCACGCAACTGCTTCTTCTAAATAATGTCACGAGTGGGGCTTGAGGATCTGAAGTCGCCTGCGTTTGCACAGTGCGATCTGATGCAGCCCCTGAAGTGACACAGGAAACAGAAATGCTGCATACTAATAATGCATGTAGGCTAAACGAGACGAAATAAAGTTAAATAACGTCTCTTCTGGTTTTGGTCAACGAAAATGAAGAGACATTTTAGCATACTTTTTATTTTTGTAAACCACATTTAGTCTCGTTTTTATTCGTCAACGATATTGCATTATACATTTAGTTATAGTCATCGTCACACGACCAGCATTTGCGTCTCGTCTCGTTTTCGTCACGTGCAGGTTTGTTGACGATGATATTTAGTCATAATTTTCGTTGACGAAAGCAATACTAGGTGCCTGTATCGCTTTTACTAGCACTTTGTAACTTTGGGTTTCGGGTAGGAACCTGAGCACAAAAAGAACTACAAAATTTGACCGCTTTACGGCATACGTCACTTCCCCCACCACCCACAACTTCCTCAGATTCTGACGTTAATGCTCAACTCGCGTTTCATTGCCGACTGTATGTTTTCGTCATGGCCGAACAAAAGCTACAAGGAAGAAGGCAATGGTTTTATCAGAGGAAACTAAAAAAAGAAAAGGGGAGAGTGACAAATTAAAAGCCAGGATGAGGATTAACATTGGTCGAGCTTTCGCTTCGCTCGCTGGCGTGAGCTAAAAGAGGAAGGGTGCTCGACCGATGCGGACGCTTGCCTGCACACCAATGGCATTTCCAAGGTAACCCAGATAAATTCATATAAGCAGTGTAGTATTTTCTGGTATTACGGCCACAGCCGTATATGAGTGTAATAAAATGCCCACAGCCCAGCGTTCATTTCTACACACAAACACAGCCCACCTCAGTGCAGGGCTCGCACAAATAAAATCGACTCATGTCAAATGTAACGTTACATGAAATGTAGTGAATGTGCCCATGACTCAGTAGTACCCACAAACACTACACACGACATGTCCCACGGTTTCTGTAAAAATAAACCAACACACATAACGTTACAGTCAGCTCAGGCCGACAGTGTTTTCAGTGCAGTGAATGTGCCCGCTGTCCCACGTCCACATTCACTCACAGACATGATAAGCCCCAATGGGGCTCGCCCTACTCGCTCTCTCTCAGCCGACTGCTATAAGGGAATGGAGCGCGACAAGGCTGCCCACGCGGCCCGCCAAAAAACACTGCAAGCACACACAATCTAAAGACACGGGAGTCTGACCGTTTGTTGACTTTAATTTGCGACAGTGCTGCAGAGCTTGTGCCCATAGTGGCCCCCAAAGTTCCACAGTGTGGCTTTAATGTGCATGTGAACGCCATCAGTGTTTATCAAAGGTTCGCATTTAAAGTCTGTTTAGAGGCATTCATATACATTTTTACCTTACAATTTTTGATGTTTTATCTCGCAATTCTGACTTTATAACACGTAATTGTGTTTCTATCTTGCAATTCTGAGAAAAAGAAAGAAATGGTAGCTTCTGCCACTGAATAAAAAAATACAAAAAGTAATTGTGACTTTTAATCTCACAATTCTGACTTTTGTCTCTCACAATGATGGCAAGAAAAGCTTCCATTTGTCCTTTATCTTTTATCCACACGTTTTTTATTTGAATTGACTCTATATAAGTCAAGCATTTCCAAAGGCATGTAACATATATAAAAAAATGATGCACATTTGATCTTTTTTGCTTTCTTGATAATGGCTGAGCAAGCAGCAAATTTTACTCCAGACTTTGTGGGATCATGTTGAGTTTTTGTTGTTGACTCATGTTGACACTTAATTTATCCACATCAGGAAGTGAGCACTGGGTTTCGGCTCACACCAATGGGCCATTACTGA